GTTTTGTTCCTTTTGGGTAATAGCTCTGTTTTTCACATCTGTGCCGAGAATCCTTTGACCTCGAGTCAGTGGGCCATCAAACACTCAGACAACACTGTATAGCGATTGCAACAGTGTAATTGGTTATGCAATGGCTCTATAGCTCTGCACAGTGTTAAAATTCATTATGTTTTTCTTGCACATTCTTCGATGTGCATGTGTATTTTATTGACATGTCCAGACGCAGCCTTGGTATTGCGTTTGCAAGAGCTTATTTCAGTCCAAGAGATGGCATCAATGGGTTAGGGACTGCCCTGACTTGTTATACAGCCTGTGTGACCTTATTTCACTTAGACTGAGCAAATCAGCAGTTCACGAAACAAACCGAATCTGACTGGGTGGCAGCTTGTTTCAAGACATGCACATGCAGCGAAATAGACAAAACATGACAAGATGAAATTAACCATCAAGTGCTTGTTAATAGACTGATGGTCTCTTTTAGCTCTTTTTGATTTGCTTAATTTTTTAAATAGATAGAAGTGAACAGTTTTACATGTATTGCTGTTATTATAAAGCAGATAAAATATGGGATTCAGAACAGCAGCAAGTGTGACTGTCTTGTATGCTTTTCCCACACTGACTAGTCCTGGTACAGAACAGTCCAGCTCCTTAATTTGATCTGAGTGTATTCATCTGTCACTCCCTCCTGCCCTCACTCCTTTCGCTCCTTGTCTCCGTTGCTCAGCAGAGGCCCTGAGCCCTGTGGAGTGCGCATCCATTTTGAACCCTGGAGGCTATCAAGCATGCTGTTGGTAAATGAGCTGTGGCTGTCAGTCTCCCCACTTCCACTTATCCTTGTCTCAGTGTCTGCCTTCTATCCCATGTTTCCTTAACCTTTCTTCCTTTTTTTTCTTCTCATCAGCACATCCCTCCATTTGCTTGTACCAGTCAAGCTGGGGAAAGGCGTTGCTTCAAAGGGCAACAGAAGGCTTTGTTACTTTGTTATACAACCACCCACCATGTTCTGACGCTGCCAGCCCCTTTGTAGATATTCAAAATAAAGACTGTTTTATTCAAAGCACTTTGTAGCAGACTTTTCTTCCCGGTCTTGCCTTGAGTCAATTGTATCACATTCCACACGCATGTGAAAAGTCTTCCCATGAAAACATGGCGTATATATTACATATACAAAGCACCGGCAGCATTTGACAACAAAATGAGCACCAGCTGAATTTTGAATTTCCTACAAAGTTTCATATTTGAAAAAAAACCCCAACAAAAAACACCATTAGCACTCACTTCTTGGTATGCGTTTAATTTTAAAAGGAAGGCAGCGTGTTGTAAACAGTAGCTCCACAGCAGAGACAGACAAACAGGCACAGAAAACAGGGCCCGGGGCCAGTGCAGGTTAAGCATGTTCATTAATTTCTGTAGTTTCTTTCCCGCTGGCCCTGCTTGGTTCCTGGACGTGCCGTGGATTTTAATAGGCTTTGGATCCGTGCTCGCTGTTGTGATACTCGCAGAAAAGCGGTGAGGTTGGGGAGCGAGGCAAAGAATAGAGGGAAAGACAGAGTGAGAGACAGAGAGTGATAAATTAAGACATGACAGAAAAGAACAGATAAAGAACATATGTCATAGAAAATAAATGAGAGACATTAAACAGGAGAACTAATAGCTGGACTGCTCAACTGAAATAAAGTGCTTTAATTAACTAACTGTGCCGCATCTGCAGTTATAAATCCAGCTCATTATTAATAAACTGTCACTGGCATCAGATTTTATTTACATCTGAACAATGACTGAGCCTCTGCCCACTGAAGCTTTTAGATGTACACACGTTTCGTCTTCGCGAGCAGCTCGTCGCCCGTACAGGCAGTTTATTTTTAATGAGTCGTCTCTGTACTGTAGGTTAACACTTTGCCGCTTATCCACCTTAGATCTCTGCTAACTGTGCGGAGCCAGAGGGGCACCAAAAAGTACCCCGCGAGAATCAGCAAGCTACTTCCTGAAGCCCCACTGTTCCACCAGGCCCCCATGTGGAGCGCCAGCGCTCTAAAGAGACTTCAAAGGCAGGCATTTCCAGACCCAATGTAGGCGTTAACCTTTGACTCAGAGGCTCTCTCTGTGCAAGCAAAGACCGCCTAATTGATGCTATGTGCACTGCAGAAAAGGAATAACTTGTCCTGGTGGACTGCAGTAAAACAGAGTACTTTAATTTCTGCTGTGGCAATATTTTTAAATTTAAATATTTAGCCTGCTAACAATTTGCAGTGCTAATCTAATTGCTATCTTACTCAGCTTTGCCTGAGTGAAATATGCCTTTAAACAAAATAATCCGTGATCTCCATATAGCAACAAGTATATTTAAATGCAAAATACTCATGGTGGGACTTAAGGTGGGTATGTGTTTTGCAAGGAGCACTGGCCAGGTGCAATTTTCCACCAAGCTTTGAGTATCTGAGATTGTCAGATATCAGTGTTGTGGCTGGAGATCGAGTCAAGCCCCCGTTGCCTTTTGTCTCCCCAGATAATGCTGAGTGGACACACAGTTCACTCTGGTTAATTTTCCACCTCATGTCCTGGCTCTCTCTCAGAGAGATTGAGGGTGTGATAATCCAGACTGATAGAATAGAATTCAACTTTATTGTCATTGCACATGTCACAGGTACAAGGGAACGAAATGCAGGGATAAGGGATGTGGTGACTAAGGGAAGGCACCAAGGGCCTTCTGTGCTATTGCATCTTGTGTCTGCTCATTGCTAAATGCATTACAGGCTGATTAAGGGGCTAAAGCTTTGCAAATAAGCATGAAACAGAGCTTGTTGAAGGAGCGATGGTTGCACGGATGCACACAGGTTGATAGATGCATGCTGTATGTGGGTGTGTGTCCATACTGCAATCAGATGCCTTTGCTATGGTTGGCTTGCTAGCTGGCCGGAGAGCTCATCAACAGGATTTTTTCAGAATCACCCGGTTTCAGTTTTAGTAAAAACATTTAAAAGAAATTGACATTTTCTGCACCCCTGCCTTAAATCCGGTCCTGCTTTGCCTCTGGATTAAAGCAGTTTGATGTGAAATGTTGAAATATGATGAAACAAGGAGCTCTGACATGGGTTGAGACGCTGCTGGATTAATAATGAATCAGGTTCAGGTTTTGTTTGGATTAACACTGACAGTGATAGAATAACAGCTGTGGTGATATTCAGGGCTGATTCGTCAGGGTACTACTATTGTGTTTCTTTGCCTGCTGAACGCCATTCATGCAGCTTAGACATGCTTAGCTGTTGCATAACACAGGGGTCAGCAACCTTTAAGACCCAAAGAGCCATTTGGTTCCACGCAAAAGAAAACACTGGGAGCCGCAAATACTGTTTGACATCTAAAATGAAGATAACACTGTATATATTGTTTTTTACCTTTGTGCTTTGTGTGAACAACTAAGCTGTGCTGCTTATGAAATCCATGAAGTGCTACAATCCATGTGTAATTAACACATTTTGAACTCTTAAAGAAATATAACAAAAGGAAAGACACCCAGCTGAACTAAAATGATCCATGTAGCAAACAAAAACTGTTGTGAGCCGCCACCCTTATATCGCCTTTGGGCTTTTGGAGCCTTGACCTGACTTTTAAAAAGTAATTGGAAAAAAAGCACTATGCTGCTAAAGATGAAAAATAGATATTTGCAAAATTCTGCCTAAATATGTATTTTACCTGGTTAATGTGTGTGCGGGCTGGTCTGCAGCGCCGCTGCAGGGGAGGCGGACGCACCTGAGCGGCACCCGCAATCACGCCTCGCGCCTTAAAGTCTGTGCTCTCTCATGCTGTTGTTGGTGTGTGTCGGGCTGTAAGCTGAAAAGCTACAGCCGGCTGTATGCGTACAGCAACCGTGTGTGAAAAGTGGTCAATAAAGAGATGCTGAAAAGCGTGTTCATGCAAACATCGTCGGGTCTGCCGTGATATGTTTACAATGGGACTTCTGCTCCTGAACCTCTGCGCACAGCGTCTGCAAATCGGGGCTGTACGAAGTCACTTTCATCTTTACGCAGGACTGTAAGCTGTCTCTGTGAGGCGTGAGCGGTGTTTGTTTTTAACATAGTTCACGGTGGAGAACAGCTGCTGACATAATGTGGATCCAAAGATCCATAATTGGCCTACCTGGGGTTGAAAGTCTCGATAAATGCACGGCGTTTCGGCGGGTATACCGGCTTCCGCGAGTGTGACGCTTATTTTGAGCGATGAAAAAATAATAGAATATAATTTTATTTTTATATTTCAATATCACAATAATCTTCCAATTTAGAACTACAAGTTAAAAAAGAACTAACATAAATAAAATACACTTCAGCTAAATACTTCTAATTTATTTTCCCAAACCACGCGGAGCCGCACTATAAGGACTAAAGAGCCACATGCGGCTCCGGAGCCGCAGGTTGCCGACCCTGGCATAACACCATGTAGCTGCAGAACATTGTGTACGTGTGAAGTTTTTCATCTTATCTCCTTTTTTCCCCCTTTGACAGCAGATCTTTTAGTAATATGATGCATATGATGACATTTTCTGTTGTAAAAAATGAATAAATAAAAACTCTTTTTGGATTTCTGGATAATCCTGTGTCAGATTTTATGAGGAAACACTCCAAAAGCAATTTGGATTGTTTATGTATGTTTGTAAAGAGCTAGTACTCATTTAGTCAGGTCATCAGTCAATATGGGAACATTTCACTTTTGTTTTAATTAGACACTTTTGTGGAGCAGAGTGTCATCAGGGCAGCATCTGTCTACACTGAATGACTCCCAGGTGACATCCCATATTGAGGTTAATGTGTGTCCTTAAGCACATGTGACTGTTTAGAGCTGGCAGGTGGTAAAATGGAAAGCGTCTCTGAAATGTGTGCCATCACCTTGAATCAAAGTAGCTTCCACGGGCATAAAATGTGTCCTAAACAGCCTTTAAAGCCTTTAAATTTGAAATTGGTTGACATTTATGATGATTTAGCTGTGCTTCTTCTTGGTTACAGGATACAGACCTTCTGGATATAGCATACATAAAAGATGCCAGAAACGGAAAGTGCGCGAAAACGCCAAAGGTAAGCCTCTAATTCACAGATTCACAGTGTCTTATACTGTCTGTGAAGGAAACTCCAGCAATACAATGACCAATGTGCTTTCTTGGCTGATGATATGCTTTGGAAGAGTTTATTTTTGCACTGAAATGAAAGCCATGTGTGGGCGTGAACCTGACTATGATTCACACTCTGTCTCCATCCATCTAACAGAAACTCTATTATGGATTGGGCTGAACTTTGTTCTGGTTCTTCTAATGATTGATATTTAACAATAGAGCAATCGTGCATGTGCAGATATGGCAGTACTTTAGTGCCAGAGGTGTAATTACTGTAATTATCTTGTTTAAACTTCCGATCTCACATTCAGGTGACTGTTAATTTATGTGTGTATATATATATGTGTCTGTGTGTAACTGATCGAATGCGTTCACAGTCTGAACACATTTAGTTTTTGACAGTAATTTGAAGATGAAGGTAAGGAAGTGAAGATCAGATGACACTGACAAGACTGACGAACGTGATTTGAATTCAGTAACATTGCATAGATGGTTTCCTAATTTGGTATCCAAATGGACTATTTCGCAACTAATGAGAAAGCCGTTGAATATAAGCAAAGAATTTGTAAATTCATTTTTTAAAAGTCTGGCACACAACTATCACAGAATTTGGCACATGGTTGTGCAGTTAAAAAAAGCCATATTAAGTTCTTGCACTTCATTTCCCACCTAACAAGTGATGATTAAAACAATGATGCGCCTTCTCTGCTGCTTTACAATACATCCCTGCGTTATAGCTCAGATTCAAATAGCTTTTGAATCCAGTCAGTCTTGTGATGAAACGCTTCATCAGCTTGATTCTGTGCAGCGGGAGAAGCGAGATGTGGGGTCATGCTTTGCTGCTCTGTGTGGGGAGTGAGTGATGATAGAACGAGTACAATAACACGGAGAGCATTCATGCATTTCTAAAAAGCTTACAGAGTGATGCTACCCAGCAAGGAGACATGACCACATGACAGGTAAGACGGTCGAAGCATTGGAAATCCATTACTGGGAGATGTAGTGGTGATGCACCCTGGGCAATGTAATGGGAGCACCAGTGAGACACAGTGTCTGAGGAGTTGATGAGATGGGGAGAGGATGGAAGGAGAGAAAGAGGGAGATGGGATAGTCATAAGAGGAAGGCAGGAGGGTTTTAAAAAAAAATGCAAAGTCTGCAGAATGTGTAAAAAAGAAAGAAAGATGAACAGAAGAGGGGCAGAGACGTGATGTGAGGTCAGCGGAAGATGTCAGTGGGAAACACAGATAACACCAGACAGCAGTTGCTTTAAGTGGACAGCGCTTGTCAGGGCTTGCTTCTTGAGCATTTCTCCTTCAACTCCTTCACATCTCTCTCTCACACTTCTTTCACCGTCTGTCAAAACGATGAAGGTTTCGTGAGGCTCACTGAACCGCTGACTTCATCTCGAAAGAAACGCTCATAAACTGCATTTTTGTAATGTAAATATATGCAGACATCTGGAGACATTTACCACGAAGCTAAATGCGATACACGAAGCTCCCTCATTTATGCCGTGAGGTAACTGAGTGCTGTAGATACACGGAGAAAATCATTATGACCACTGATAGTGATGTGTCAGTGCTCTCTGTCTAAGGTTGTGCATGAGGAGGCAAAATAAGGAAGAAGTACAAGTGAAAGGAATTTCATATTACCGTCAACTTTTCAATTTTAACCTTGCAGGTCATGCTGCTTATAAAACTCCCACAACGCTCACTGTGTTGTTTTGATATTTGTATGCTCTGTGCTCTCTTAAGCTTGCGGTGCTTATTCTGGTCTCACTCAAGAGCTCCCTTAGAAGCATTCATTCATTAATCCAAACTGCAGCAAACAAACACACTCGCCAGGGCGAGATGAGATGCTGATGATGACATGTCAGTAAAAAGCTTCAGAAGTGCTTTCATTGTGCTGCTCGAGAGTTCTGCGTCTCAGATGAACATTGTCGGTCTCAAATGCAATCATTGTCAACAGACTGGCTTGAAATGGGCTACAGATGGAAAGGCTGTTTCTTTGCACGCCTCTTTTGAGCCCTTGTTTCTACTCCAGCTCGAGTTACCTCGTATTGTTTTTGAGCGGCGCTGGAATTTCTGTCTGATTGTCATTAAGATTTGGAGCACGTTGCTGTGTTCATTGGCTCGTCGCAGTGTGTGTGTGTGTGCGGGTGTCTGTGTGGGCAGCTTGTCTGACCTCTGATGAATTTATGCCACCCTGCCCATGGGCTTCAGCTACTCATGATGATTCATACATGTTTGTTTTTTTGTAAAAAGTAAATAAATAAATAAATTCGGACTGGGAAAATCGCACAATCATTTGTACAATGTGCACATTTACAACTACTGACACAAATCCTGCACAAGAAGTTAGTAGAATAACAAAGCCAGACAAGCACAGTGTCCTTTGTCATACCATTCTCAGACTGCTGATGCTAATTAGCACGTGTCCACCCTATCATCATTTAGGCTGATTAGATTGGGTGCTTGTCAGTGTGACTAGAGGCAACCTCTTTTTGATGGGTGGCTCCAGAAATAAATTACGTACCCTTGGGTCAAGTGAGCAATGCGCAGCACTAATGACCAAACATAGTGCACACAAATAGCAGGCATATTTGCCTTATGCAATGGGAATAAAGGATGTGTGTGTGAACCAAAGCATTTACTGTGCCACTGAATTATTCAGCTATGATGTTGTGTTCAATCTGTGAAAATGGCCGAATATTTGACTTAAAACCTAAAGTTTTCGGATTATTTAATGCAGTACTGTTTTGTCAAGGTGCAAGCTTGGCTGAGGCTGAACTGTGCACTACTCACAATTTTATTTCCACAAAAGCTAAAACCAAAAGCACAGGAAAACTGCACTGAGAAACTCTCCAGAGGGAACAACAATGATGGGCGAGTTTCAGGGCGCAATCAGAGCCTCAGGAGGTGATCCATTGAGAGAGAGAGAGAGAAAGAGGGAGGAGATGAGAGTTAGATCCAGCGGGAAACTGGTGGGTGAAATTGCACTTCCCAAAAGTGGGAAAATAAATGTTCAGGATCTGTTGTAAACAGATGGCTATTGGGTCCAGGACGGGCATACTGGTTTGCTTCAGGCAGGTAACAGGAGGAAGGGCAGGCAGGTGATGGAGCCGAGGCAGCTCCAAGGGAAGCTGTCCAAGAATGAACCAGCTTGACGAAACAGGTGAGTAGGTTATGATGGCTGCGGCTTTTCGGGCCGACTGGGAAACGTACTGGAAGAGGAGGCAAAAACAACATTGGCACACAAGAATACTCTACACAAAAAAGCTCATGAAGAGGCCTGATTACCACTCAGCTAAGCAGATGAAGATTGGAAGCCTGGGCTGCTTTTTAAGGCCAAGGAAGAACCGATAATATCTCCTCCCCAGTCTGCCCGACCCAACCTGGACCTGTGAGAGGAAGAAAACAGAAAGGCCCAAAACAGAAGTAAACCAGTGTCTATCAGGACAGTTTCAGTTAGGAAAGCTTTAGTCTAATGAAGTTTCTGGCTTGACTCTGAATGCAAGGAGTTAATGTGAATTTCTGTGTATGTAGAAGGCAACAGATGTTCAGGAAACCGCAAAAGATTTGTGATTTCGGGGGGTTGGAATTTTTCACAGTTAATTACTATATTATCACAAACCAGCTTGAGTCCTTTTAATTTTAAACTGATAGCAGACAGATAGCAGGCTAACTGTCTCATTGACATTCTATCGCCATCTTGATGCACCAAAGTCACTTTAAGGTTGGCAAATGACAGTCCCCATCTTCAAAGTAATCATTTAAAAGGCAACAGGACTGAAAGTTCATTGCACAGGGTCGTAGTAATTCTGGTCATGCCAAGTGCTGTTTTCCCCAGTATCATAATAAAATACCACAGTGTGCTAATTTTGTATGTGAACAGTTATGTGATGGGAAATATTCCTCACGTTTCATACCCCAAATGTTTTCATATGAGGCACAAAATCTGACACAACAAAAGAAAGGAGAGAACTTTATTTACTTGTGGAGTATTTGCTTTATTTCATGCATTTGCGGCAGCAGAGGTCAGAGGAAACTCTAAACTTCAGAAAAAACAAACCATAAGGTGGACTCTGGATAGAAGTCAGCTTGGGCTCTTTCACATATTTGTTTATATTGTTTTGCACGTGTTAAGCCCTCGGTCATTATTAGAGGTGCTTCTGCTCCAGACCATCTATTCATATTGTTTCTTTATTAAATCAGCAGTTTAGCTTGCTCCTGCACAGTGTGTTCCTTCTCCTGAGCACAGAGCAACCCAGCTAATCACATCCAAGCTTTTGCGTAGACTTTACCATACAGCTAACTTCAACATAACCATGTTCGCATAACTTCTGCTTTCCATTCTGTCTCTTTGCACGCTGTAAGGGGCACATTGTGAGCCTTTCATTGTCCCCCTTGGTTTCTGGAAGTGTTCTTCTGTCTGGATTGAAGACGAAAATGTAATCAGCATCTCACCATGCTTCTTACAGTAGGTGTCTGACAGGCAAAATTACATGCTTTCTCTCCCTCCCTTTGACAACCAAACAAATATCCGTCTGTGAAATGCCCTGCCTGTAGAGTTCAGCCTGCAATATACATCCCGAAAATGGAAAACCTTAATGATTTAGTGTTCTCCGGACTACATTTGCAGATCTTTCCATTTTTTATGACAAATTAAGACATCCACTGTCACACTGCAGGAGGCCAGAATTTGCAGACTGGATCTGGTTTGATAATTTAATATCCCTGTCTTAACCCAGCCTTAGTCTGACACGAGCTGCTTATTACTTTGCAGTGCGTTTCAAACTAGACACAGGGATCGCTTCCTTACCTATTTGTGATGCATGCATCGTACTGATGCTGATACATTGTCTGACTGTGTATATAGCACATATTTATGACACATGGTCATCGGCACAGACAGAGGAGTTGTTGTCAGAATTTATTTATTTTTTTATTGTGGTATTTGTGAAT